CGAGAACTTCAGTCCATTTTTCAAGAGTCGTCAAGAGATTGGTTACACATGATCGACACGGTAGGAAGCCATGCTGGCATTGCGTCAAAAGGTTGTTTTCTGATAAGTGTGACAGGATCCTTTCTCTAATAATGGATTCGAGTATCTTACATACTATGGACGTTAAACTTACTGGCCTGTAGTTGGTAGATAGGTTTTTCTTCCCTTTTTTAAATATCGGTGAAATATTAGCTTGTTTCCAATCTTGAGGCAGCGTTCCAGAGTTTGTTGACATCTTGAATAGGAGGTATAGAGGTCTGCATATGGTACATCTGAGTTCCTTTAATATGCGGGGTTTTATCTTGTCTGGTCCGGGTGACTTGTTTGTTCTTAGAAGCTCCAGCTTTTTCATTACTTCATCTTCTGTGAAAGTCCAGGCCTCGATGTAACTTGTTATTCTGATATAGTGACCTGTTGGTATGTTATCCTTGTTCTCCTTGGTAAAGACACTAGAGAAGAATCTATTCAGCTCTTCTGCTTTATCTAAGTCACTAGTTGTTGTTGTGCCATCCTCTCTGTTGAGCTGGGGTATTCCACTCCTTGTTTTCATTTTGCTGTTGCTGTACCCCCAAAATTTCCTTGGTTGGGATTTTGCTGATTTTGCAATATTCCTTTCAAATTCCTTGATAGCTCTAGTTACCTCATTTTTAGCCTGGTTTCTCTCCTTAACGTATTGCTGGTATTCCTCTCCCTTCTTCGTTCTTTGGTACCTCTTCCATGCACCATGTTTTCGTTTGATTTGTGCTAAACATCTCTTATCCATCCATGCTTTTGCTGTTTTTCTAGCCTTGACTTGTGGGACATTTTTACTATAACTTTCGTCCATTCTTCTTTTGAACATGTCCCAGCATTCATCAATATCCTTGTCTTTAAATTCACTGTCCCAGTCGATGCTCAGTTCTTCCTTCATCTTTTCATAATTGGCCTGGTTCAGTAGGGGGATTAATCGTTCTTGTACTGTAAACTCAGCCTGGTAATGAAGGACAAAACTTATTACTTGATGATCACTTTTCCCTATTCCTGCCTGTATCTCCAGATCTGAAACCATGTCCATTTCATTTGACAGTACTAGATCAAGGATATTATCACCCCGCGTTGGCTCACTTACATGCTGGTAGAGGAAGGTATCATCTACAAGTTCAGTGAATACATCAGCAATTCTTCTGTCAGGGCATCCTGGAGTTGTACAATTTAGTTCCCAGTTTATTCCTGGAAGATTGAAGTCCCCCATAATAAGTAAATGCGTTGGTTTTTTGTCACAATTGTTTTTTATCTGGTCAAATAGGGCTTCTGAGTTTGTTTCCTCGCTTGTTGGGCTTCTATATATACAGCCAATTATTGCATTGTCCTTTCCACAACTCATATTCAGCCATACTGATTCCTTGACGTTATGGTCTGTTTCAAGTTGATGACATTTTAAGTTCTCCTTGACATAAACTATCACACCTCTAGTATTTTCTTGCAGGTTGTTAGTGAAGGGGGTATACCCTTGGAGAGAAATTTGTGCTTCAGATAATTCATAGTCTTTTCTTTTAACATTAACTTCAACAACTCCGATTACATCTGGCTTCATATTATGGACTAACAATTCGAGTTCATCTTTTTTATTCGGAAGACTGTCAATGTTTGTACGAGGGGTGATTCAAAAGTAATGGACAAAATTTTATAGGCACGCTTACCTTTACCAGATTTGAATGAAACTTTGTACAAATAAAGATTAATCAATTATCTATTAGATGTTAAAATGTTATTAACTAAATGCAAATACATTTTGAGATAGAGCACTTCTCTTGGATCATGGTGCATACACCCAGAATCCATTTTTAAGGCTATTTTCATCATAATAACAAATGGATTTTCAATGAAAAGTTTGCTGGTGCAATATATTTTGCAATGCAAGATGTATATGAAAAGCATATCGCAGTAAGTTCAATAATAATCCGTATCATTCCTTATTATTCCTGATGATCATCCATTTGAATTATATTCAATCCTCAATGTATTCTCCTCCAAGTTCAATTACTGTCTTCTGTCGGCGCACCCATGCAGAGAACACATGCCCAAATCCATCAGCAGCCATGGTGTTCAGCTGTTTTTGTACAGCCATTTGCAGCTCAGCTAATGTCTGAAAGGATTGTCCCTTTAATGCCATCTTAAGGGTGGGAAAAAGATAGAAATCACAAGGAGCAGTATCAGGGCTATATGGAGCATGTGGAAGTTGAGGCATGTCCATGAATGCTGCAAGAGTATCCTGAACTAGCTCAATCCTTTGCTTAACTTTGATTTGTTGTAAAGTAGACATTTCTTGGATGTGTGTGAGTCTAAGAGTCTGATCTACTTTCTGACTCACTGTGACTCATCATTCTTAGAAATATTGTGATGTCATAGCACAATTGGTTGCTGAATTTAGAACTCAACAGCAAACACATGGGCATGTGAGTCTTGCTTGACAATTGCATTACCATGCTTGTTAGACATATCATGTGTGGTAATTGAGTCATTAAAACGAAATCAAGCAAAAATGACAAAAACATTCAATTATCATTAAAAAACCAATTCCACCCATGCTTACCCTTGTTACCATGGTTACGCATAGCTGAAACAATTTCAAATGCATTTAAATGAGAATTCGACACAAAGTAGAAAATTGATTGATCTATTCACTGTGAAAAAATTAGACTGATTGGGTGAAATTTAGAATGCCTATAAAATTTTGTCCATTACTTTTGAATCACCCCTCGTATATATCACTTTCAGTTTATTTACACTATTTACAATATTTACATTACTGTTTTGTCTAGGGGTTACTCGTCCTCGTCCCCCGAATCACCCTCCTGCGTTACAATCAAAAGAGGCGGCTGTTTTGGCAGTTTGTTGATTTCTGGTGCTGGGGTAGGCTGTTCATTAATTGTCGTTTCCTGTCCTCCGCTCTTCTTAGCTTCATTAGATGAAGTATTTCCACGGGGCCTGGCTTGTGCAGTTGTGTTCCTGGGGATTATAACTCCCTTCTTTATGATATAGTCTTTTCCATTATTAGGAAGACTTCTCAGTTCCTCAAGCAGTCGACGTGAATCATCTCTTTCAAGGGGTGTCATATCAGGCTTAATGTATATGTCTCTGTAGTTGTCCCCTTTATTCCTCAACGATTTGGCATTACGTAGGATTTCATACTTATCCCTTGTTTCTTTAGTGACTACTAGCAGTGGTCGAGTTTTGTTCGGGGCTGGTTTTCCTAGACGGAATGATTTCTCAAGCTCGACTTCTAATTCAAGTCCATCCGCGATAAGGTCATCTGCTTTCTTTGTATCATCCAACAATCTTTGACGTGGTGTGCTGGCTTTACTTTCTGGAATATTAAATATGACTAGATTGTTTTTGCGTTTTTCCCTTTCAGCATATTCACGCAGTGATGCTGTTACATTTGTATTGGCTGGCTGAGGGGGCACATGTTCTGATTCAGTATTACTTTGAGTGGAATTGCTTTTCTCGGAATTGTTTTGGGGTGATACCTTATCCTGCTTCCCCTGTACATATGTCGGCTAATTTTGTTGTTATTTCTCCGAGAACTGTTGATATTTGCTGTAATTGTGTCTCAACAAGGGGATCAGTTAAATTTGAGTCATTTGTTTTTGGTCTTGCCGATCTTGATGCTTGAACTGACTGGTCTACAATGGGACTACATTGTTTACAGTACCAATGAATATTTTTGTGCTTTTGAAGAATTCCAATCAGATTTAGGGACAGGTCTTGGCATGTGATACAAGCCCATTTCAAACAACGCTCACACTGGATTTCTGCGGGTGGTTTTTTACAGAATTCACATGGATAGTCAATAATTACCTTGCCAACTCCCTCTCCGTCACCTTTGTCTTTCCTCTTGGTGTCTTTTTTTACCTTTACCTTGTTGTTTTTTGCAGCTTTCGTCGATGAACGTGTATTTTTTCTTTCACCGGAAGTGGACTCATTTTCTGCAGGTACCTTTTCGGCAATATTTTGCGACATTTCATTTTCAATCTCTGAATCCGATCCCTTTTCACTATCTTTTGCGATTCCAAGATCACTAAGAACAATATTCCCTAGAAGATTTACACTTGAATGTCTTACTCTTGGAGAATCTTTTGAAGCCATATCCGATGTCGTAATTTGGCGGGGTTTTCTTTTGTTCAAAATTTCTACACTTCCGAGCATAGGCCAAGGGAAAAGTAATAGTAAGCTGTATATAGAAGAGACAGGTCCACAAGTAAGATTGAAAATTTTTCAAATTTTTTTAGTCTTGGCACTAGTTCTCCTTACTGGTATCAAATTGTATTCCCAAATCTCTCCAAAATCTTCTTCAAAGTGTTTTTCAAATTTATATCATTGTTTTTTTCAAATCTTTATCTAAAAACTGCATATAATACTGCATATAAAACAACAACTATGGATATCTGCAATTGCCTGGCAAGCTGAAACTGATTGTCACTGGTGGAGGTCAGGGAGGTCAGCAGTGACCAATCAGATCACTTGTTTACTAATGAACTTGCCAGGCAATTGCAGGTTTTCAGAAATTCTCTCTTTTAGACAGCATTATTCACTCTACATCATCTGACTGAGTTTCAATCTTAGGTAAGAGCTACAAACTATCAATTTTCTATCAACTCCCCATGGCTTTTTGAAAGTAATACACTTAAAATTGTTGAAATCTCCATCTTAACAAGTGGTCTAAGTCAGAGTTGTTCACCTGTCTCTTCTATATACGGCTTACTATTACTTTACCCTTGGCCTATGCTTCCGAGGCCAGATTCAGGTTAGTACGGTCCTTTGTCGTTATTTTTCTGCTCTAGTCAAGTTGTCTATCGGTTCTTCTTTCCTCCGTTGTCTTTTAATTGGGGGTGCTATGTCATTTTAGCTCTAAAACTCAATTTTACGAGGAGAAAATTTTTGGATTGACATTTTGTTTGATCACGTGACTAGCAAAGTTTCATTCTTGCAAAAATGCATTAGTGCACCTACACGACTATTAATTGAAGGTTGATAATTCTTCAGAATGTTTGAATAACTAGAATTTTCAGTGGTTTACTTAAAATTGCAAAATTTCAACATGCACAGTAAATATATACTAAATTGACGAACGTCAAAGTTCTTTGTGTAGGGACACTTTGTCAAGTTACTGTAGAATACAAGTCAGTGTATCTCAATCATCATCGATTGTATAATTCAACATATTTAACATGATGCAACATATCTAACTCATATGCATAATTGAAACCCGTATTGAAACTCCAAAACTTTACAAACGTAGAATCTATATTGTCTATATTGAACCGTAATTACTGAATAAGTAACGTTCGTAATTTTAATTCATTACAGCTCTTCAAATTTAGAGGAAATTCCGTAAGAAAAAAATCGACGAGAAGAACGACCGAAAATGGCAAATATATACGTCTCATATCCAAACAATAAGTCATGTAGAAAGTGTATATATAAGGCTGATATCCAACAAAATGTATATGCGGTGATACGTAATTTAGAGGAAGACATAAAGGTATAAATTGCCGTCAACCCTACTTTTTTAGGTTTTTCTTTCATGTTTTTCACCATAGGCCGGGAACATGTATAAACAAGAAAATGTAAAAAAATCTCTGAGTGAAGATCTCAAAGTCAAAGAGTTGGCTGGTCCTGGCTTACATGATTCCCACCCTCTTGCCAAAAATTCTTTCAACAAGCAACGGGAATGAGAAAAAGAATTACCTTTTTTCCTTTCCGAATCACGCCTGAATCATCTTGGTGAATGTAACTTGCACAGCTGTGTTGTGTCGAGTCTTGTCAATTCCAATCAGCCTCAATTTTAAAGTATTAGAGTCCATTCCACTGTTTAACTGCGTCAGTAAAAGCTAAAATATAAGAAATCAAAATATCATTTTGCAATAATATATGGAAAAATATATTCCTATTGAACATGGATGACATTTGTATATCTTGGATTGCTTCTAGTTTGGCTTAGAAAGTGTGTGGCCTCTTATATTTGGATGCTTCTCTGCCATGTTATTTTCAATAAGATTAACATGGCTGAAATTCTTAAAATTACAAGACGGCACAGGCTTATTGCACAAAAAACTAAAAAATCTGAAATATACAAATGTCATTCATGTACATTATGAATATACTTTTCCATATATTATTGTACAATGGTCTCCCAATTTCTTATTTTTGCCGTTCTACTGACGCAATGAAGCAGTGAAATGGACTCTAGTTGTATTTTAAACATGATTTCACTGTTTTTTATGGACTGGTAAGATCCTGAAACGCAAATGGCACGATGGATGACTCTTCATCTCATTTTGACCAATGGTGATCATGTGCAAATCACATGATCAATTTTATCTCGATGCTGATTGGTTAAATTTAAAATTATTTGAAAGTTTCAATCTCCTGCTTTAGAACCAGAATATCTCACGAGTCTTTGTGCCAGATCCGTTGCATTCATTTCAGTTTTAAGACCTGTTCAAAATTCATTTGGTCCTAATTATTAGGGGTGGGACGGATAACCGAAATACCGAAAAACCGCGGTTCATAGCCTTCGGATCGGTTTTCGGATCACGGCCCTACTTTCGGATCAGCTTTTCGGATCGTTTTCTGATTAATATTTCATTGGTCAAGTATCAATAAAACAGTTAAAAACACTGTTTTACAGCAACATTTTTGATATTCCTAGTCCCTACCTTGTCTGTCTTGTCTGTTGCTAGCTCACCCGTTTACTAGATTCGATTCGTATCCCTGGTACTATATTCTTTAGTCGTGTATTCTAAATAATATGTATTGTTCATGAAATACTATAACATAAAATTCCATCTATAAAATATTGTTATAACGTGGCATAATTGATACAAAGATTTGCGCAAATTTATATTTGCGCAGGTTCGATATAGGGTATTATTTTGTGCGCACCCACAATACATTCAAATATGGCGTCTTTTCCCAAAAGAAAAAAACGCATCACAGAATAAAAGTTTCTACAAGCATAAATTAGTTATTTTATTGGTTGTATTAAAAGAAAGTGACAGTCAGCAGTGAAGTCAGAGACAAAGCAGCTAATCATGTCAATCAATACAAATCCTTAAAATGAATGAACCGAACCGAAAAAACCGAACCGACGGCTGATGATCCGAAAAACCGAACCGAACCAAACGAACCGAACCGAAACGAACCGTCCCATCCCTACTAATTATTGCATATCACAACAATTTTGGAAACAATATTTTTATCTAGAGATTAAGAAGCATCTAAGGCGGAAAAATAGATGAATAACTGAGGTAATAGTGATAAATAGCTCAACGAGAGTCGGCAGTCTTGAAATAGACTTGAATTCTAAAGGCTTGTTGATACTAGGCCTATCCTTTGCAGAATTATGACTCAAATCCATGCGTGCAAAATCATGCAGTTTTTCACCGTTCTAAGCACTTTTCAAGTGATTTTGGTCATTTTTGGGCCAATGTTGCCAGAAGTGAATCCCCCCTGGAATTCCTCAAAAAGTGAAACCCCCTTGGGAAATCCTGGCTACGGGTCTGGGAATACACCTTGCGGCGCTGAAAATATTCGTTTTATTATTTACTGTTATATCCACTCTCTTACTGTAAAGAATTTCTTAAGAATGATAAGATACTTTCTGATTTACACTGAAAGAAATGACACACCTGGTGAATACGCCCATTGAATATGCCTTTTCAGACGTCACAGGCATGGCTGTTGAATACATAATATTATTATCCCAACGAACGAAGTTCGGTAGGGATATAGTGAAGCCCTCCGTCCGTCTGTCCGTCAGTCCGTCTGTCCGGAAGATAACTCAAATACTAGTAAATGTATTTTCTTCATATTTAGTGGAAAGATGTATATTGGTGAATAGTTTTACGCAAAAAAATGTTTTTCAAGATGGCCGCCGCTTGAAAAATGACGGGACTTTTTCGCAAAAATCATAAATTTTTCATTCTAAACCAAAGTAATTAATATTATTGTTTGAAATTTTGATAGTATATTCACAACATTTATCTATTTCTATATTCCGTGTTTTTCATCCTGACCCCTAGGGGCCGTGTATGGGGGGACAGGAAAACAGAAATTTTCGCTAATTTTTAGATCTTTCTGAAGTATAGCTTTATTATACTCAAATGAAAGGCAATTAAGAGTAGATTGCAGATATTGTATCTTTTTTCTGATTCAAGCCTCGTAAAATTCAAAATGGCCGTCTAATGTACGATTTCACAATAATTTTTCGATCCCTTCAAAATATGGCTATATTATACTCAAATTGAAGGAATTTTGGAGTAGATCACAATTATGGTATTATTTTTCAGATCTGTATCTCCGAAAATTCAAAATGGCTGCTTTGCAGGAATTCGCAATTCTAAAATCTAATTTTTTCAATTATAACCAAAGTAATGAGTATAATTGATTGGAATTCGGTAATTGATATTTTTTTTTTTAAATATATATTTATTTAAGTCAAGAACAGCTACATATTTGTCACATAATGTTTACAGAATCAAATATATCGAAATAGATGCATACACGTTATTGATATTTTGTTCGTTGGGATTTGCTACTCCGCGGAGTTGCCGTTATCTAGTTATGTCACATGTAATATATAGATGAATGAGAGAGTGGAGAATATGACAGTGATATAACAATAGTATTTACAAAATGTATTTACAGTTCTTGCATGGTGACAGTTTCTATGTTGAATGTAATGGAAGACGTGTAAGTGTTGATGATCTAACAGAAGAGGGGGCAGTATACAGAGTATGGCCAAGGCTGATTGGAGGCAAAGGGGGTATGTGCAGTTGATAACAACAAGCCTTTTCATTCAAAGGGGCAGCAAAACCATATATGATGCAGAATTTGCTCACCTACAAATTTTCTTAGTTTCCATTAAACTAATTTGCTATATAGCTTTGAAATCTTATCAATGAAAGTCTCATTTTTATAAGATTTTAAGAGACATATATAGCATATTTAACCACTAGGCCTATTGACTTTTATTTTCCTCAATTTTACAAAAATCGATGCTAGAAGTTGGTTCAATGTTCATCTTCCAAATGTAGGGGCCTAAACAATGAATATCATGCACTCTGTTCAAGACTGGTTATTGTCCGGCCCTCTACATTTGGAGGATGTGCAGTAGAAGAGTATATTGTGCTTTTATTTAAAGCAATAAGTAGTCACCATACATGTAATGTCATTCTTTCCAGCCCAAGTGTTGCCTGATAAAATAGATAATAATTATGAATCTTTGAATATCATGTCCATTGTTTCTCTCTATCCTTTATTGCCCCTTTATGTTATTATAAATATGACCATTGTTTCTTTCTATTCCTTATTCCCCCTTCATGTTAAAATGTTCTTGAATATCAAGCCCATGGTTTCTCTCAATTCCTCATTGCCCCTTTATGTTAAAATGAATTTGTCCATTGTTTCTCTCTATCCCTTATTGCCCCTTTATGTTAAAATAAATACGTCCATTGTTTCTCTCTATTCCTTATTACCCCTTTATGTTAAAATGTTGTTGAATATCATGCCCATGGTTTCACTCTATCCCTTATTGCCCCTTTATGTTAAAATGTTGTTGAATATCATGTCCATGGTTTCTTTCTATCTCTTATTGCCCCTTTATGTTAAAATTGTGTAGAATATCATGTCCAAAGTTTCTCTCTATCCCTTATTGCCCCTTTATGTTAAAATGAATTCTTTCTCTCTCTCCCTTATAGCCCCTCTATGTTAAAATGAATATGTCCATTTATTGTTGCTCACAATTCCTTATTGCCCCTTTATGTTAAAATGAATATGTCCATTGTTTCTCTCTATTCATTATTGCCCCTTTATGTTAAAATGTTGTTGAACATCATGTCCATGGTTTCTTTCTATCCCTTATTGCCCCTTTATGTTAAAATTTTGTAGAATATCATGTCCAAAGTTTCTCTCTATCCCTTATTACCCCTTCATGTTAAAATGAATATGTCCATTATTTCTCTCTATTCCTTGTTGCCCCTTTATGTTAAATGAATTGTTTTTCTCTCTCCCTTATAGCCCCTCTATGTTAAAATGAATATGTCCATTTATTGTTGCTCTCAATTCCTCATTGCCCCTTTATGTTAAAATGAATATGTTCATTATTTCTCTCTATTCCTTATTGCCCCTATAGTTAAAATGAATTGTTTCTCTCTCTCCCTTATAGCCCCTCTATGTTAAAATGAATATGTCCATTTATTGTTGCTCTCAATTCCTTATTGCCCCTTTATGTTAAAATGAATCGTTTCTCTCTCTCCCTTATAGCCCTTCTATGTTAAAATGAATATGTCCATTTATTGTTGCTCTCAATTCCTTATTGCCCCTTTATGTTAAAATGAATCGTTTCTCTCTCTCCCTTATAGCCCCTCTATGTTAAAATGAATATGTCCATTTATTGTTGCTCTCAATTCCTCATTGCCCCTTTATGTTAAAATGAATATGTCCATTATTTCTCTCTATTCCTTATTGCCCCTTTATGTTAAAATGAATTGTTTCTCTCTCTCCCTTATAGCCCCTCTATGTTAAAATGAATATGTCCATTTATTGTTGCTCACAATTCCTTATTGCCCCTTTATGTTAAAATGAATATGTCCATTGTTTCACTCTATCCCTTATTGCCCCTTTATTGTTGAACATCTTGTCCATGGTTTCTTTCTATCCCTTATTGCCCCTTTATGTTAAAATTGTGTAGAATATCATGTCCAAAGTTTCTCTCTATCCCTTATTGCCCCTTTATGTTAAAATGAATTCTTTCTCTCTCTCCCTTATAGCCCCTCTATGTTAAAATGAATATGTCCATTTATTGTTGCTCACAATTCCTTATTGCCCCTTTATGTTAAAATGAATATGTCCATTGTTTCTCTCTATTCATTATTGCCCCTTTATGTTAAAATGTTGTTGAACATCATGTCCATGGTTTCTTTCTATCCCTTATTGCCCTTTATGTTAAAATTTTGTAGAATATCATGTCCAAAGTTTCTCTCTATCCCTTATTACCCCTTCATGTTAAAATGAATATGTCCATTATTTCTCTCTATTCCTTGTTGCCCCTTTATGTTAAATGAGTTGTTTTTCTCTCACCCTTATAGCCCCTCTATGTTAAAATGAATATGTCCATTTATTGTTGCTCTCAATTCCTCATTGCCCCTTTATGTTAAAATGAATATGTTCATTATTTCTCTCTATTCCTTATTGCCCCTATAGTTAAAATGAATTGTTTCTCTCTCTCCCTTATAGCCCCTCTATGTTAAAATGAATATGTCCATTTATTGTTGCTCTCAATTCCTTATTGCCCCTTTATGTTAAAATGAATCGTTTCTCTCTCTCCCTTATAGCCCCTCTATGTTAAAATGAATATGTCCATTTATTGTTGCTCTCAATTCCTTATTGCCCCTTTATGTTAAAATGAATCGTTTCTCTCTCTCCCTTGTAGCCCCTCTATGTTAAAATGAATATGTCCATTTATTGTTGCTCTCAATTCCTCATTGCCCCTTTATGTTAAAATGAATATGTCCATTATTTCTCTCTATTCCTTATTGCCCCTTTATGTTAAAATGAATTGTTTCTCTCTCTCCCTTATAGCCCCTCTATGTTAAAATGAATATGTCCATTTATTGTTGCTCACAATTCCTTATTGCCCCTTTATGTTAAAATGAATATGTCCATTATTTCTCTCTATTCCTTATTGCCCCTTTATGTTAAAATGAATTGTTTCTCTCTCTCCCTTATAGCCCCTCTATGTTAAAATGAATATGTCCATTTATTGTTGCTCACAATTCCTTATTGCCCCTTTATGTTAAAATGAATATGTCCATTGTTTCACTCTATCCCTTATTGCCCCTTTATTGTTGAACATCTTGTCCATGGTTTCTTTCTATCCCTTATTGCCCCTTTATGTTAAAATTGTGTAGAATATCATGTCCAAAGTTTCTCTCTATCCCTTATTGCCCCTTTATGTTAAAATGAATTCTTTCTCTCTCTCCCTTATAGCCCCTCTATGTTAAAATGAATATGTCCATTTATTGTTGCTCACAATTCCTTATTGCCCCTTTATGTTAAAATGAATATGTCCATTGTTTCTCTCTATTCATTATTGCCCCTTTATGTTAAAATGTTGTTGAACATCATGTCCATGGTTTCTTTCTATCCCTTATTGCCCTTCATGTTAAAATTTTGTAGAATATCATGTCCAAAGTTTCTCTCTATCCCTTATTACCCCTTCATGTTAAAATGAATATGTCCATTATTTCTCTCTATTCCTTGTTGCCCCTTTATGTTAAATGAATTGTTTTTCTCTCTCCCTTATAGCCCCTCTATGTTAAAATGAATATGTCCATTTATTGTTGCTCTCAATTCCTCATTGCCCCTTTATGTTAAAATGAATATGTTCATTATTTCTCTCTATTCCTTATTGCCCCTATAGTTAAAATGAATTGTTTCTCTCTCCCTTATAGCCCCTCTATGTTAAAATGAATATGTCCATTTATTGTTGCTCTCAATTCCTTATTGCCCCTTTATGTTAAAATGAATCGTTTCTCTCTCTCCCTTATAGCCCCTCTATGTTAAAATGAATATGTCCATTTATTGTTGCTCTCAATTCCTTATTGCCCCTTTATGTTAAAATGAATCATTTCTCTCTCTCCCTTGTAGCCCCTCTATGTTAAAATGAATATGTCCATTTATTGTTGCTCTCAATTCCTCATTGCCCCTTTATGTTAAAATGAATTGTTTCTCTCTCTCCCTTATAGCCCCTCTATGTTAAAATGAATATGTCCATTTATTGTTGCTCACAATTCCTTATTGCCCCTTTATGTTAAAATGAATATGTCCATTGTTTCACTCTATCCCTTATTGCCCCTTTATTGTTGAACATATTGTCCATGGTTTCTTTCTATCCCTTATTGCCCCTTTATGTTAAAATTTTGTAGAATATCATGTCCAAAGTTTCTCTCTATCCCTTATTACCCACCCCTTTATGTGAAAATGAATATGTTCATTATTTCTCTCTATTCCTTATTGCTCCTTTATGTTAAAATGAATTGTTTCTCTCTCCCTTATAGCCCCTCTATGTTAAAATGAATATGTCCATTTATTATTTCTCTCTATTCCTTATTGCCCCTTTATGTTAAAATGAATTGTTTCTCTCTCTCCCTTATAGCCCCTCTATGTTAAAATGAATATGTCCATTTATTGTTGCTCTCAATTCCTCATTGCCCCTTTATGTTGAAATGAATATTGTCCATTATTTCTCTCTATTCCTTATTGCCCCTTTATGTTAAAATGAATTGTTTCTCTCTCCCCCTTATAGCCCCTCTATGTTAAAATGAATATGTCCATTTATTGTTGCTCTCAATTCCTCATTGCCCCTTTATGTTAAAATGAATATTGTCCATTATTTCTCTCTATTCCTCATTGCCCTCATTGTTAAAATGAATTGTTTCTCTCTCTCCCTTATAGCCCCTCTATGTTAAAATGAATATGTCCATTTATTATTGCTCTCAATTCCATATTGCCCCTTTATGTTAAAATGAATATGTCCATTGTTTCTCTCTATTCCTTATTGCCCCTTTATGTTAAAATGTTGTTGAATATCATGCCCATGGTCTCTCTCTCTATACCCTATTGTCCCTTCATGTTAAAACGTTGTTGTATATCATGTCCATGGTTTCTCCCTATCCCCTATCGACCCTTTCCAGGGCTCTCACCAGGAAATATTTAGGGTGTGGTGCTAACATCTTCAGAATAACTGTTCAATCGCGATAAATCATATTTATGTTATATTTTATCCTTTTTACATGGTATTATTGTATTTTCAGTCAAGTTTAGACTGTGGGAACAATCATGATTTGCCAATAGGGTGTGAAGGGAGATAAATAGAGTGTGGTGCTGCGCCACATTCTAAAAGCCTGGCGAGAACCCTGCTTTATGTTAAATTTTCTTGCAGGGTTTGGGTCAATGCTGCGGTCCCTTGGTGCCCAAATTGAAAAGACAACAAATAGAGAGGCATGCAGAGATCTTAGTGGACGAAGAATGAGAGACATCAACAATGAGAAAAAGTATGTATATGGATTTTAAGTGCTAAACCTACATGTATATTGTTGTCCTCTTGTGCTGACAGGCATGTGTACATCAGGATTTTCTCTTATCTATTTGCAATGTGTGAACATAATCAGTCCTATGTATTCGCTAATTTCTTTTTAATGAGATTTTAAGAGATATGCACAGACATTAAATATTGAATTTTATGCATAATTTTCTATTAAAAGAAATTGAATTTTATTTTGCATAGTTATTTTATTTTTATTCCATTTCCAAAGAATTTTAACTTTTCTAAAAAAGTAAGGCAAAATCCCCATTGATAAATTGCTGAAAAAATCTTCAAAAGTTGATTCATTATTTTCAAGATCATCTTGTAAGCTAACAGAGCTTAAATTTAACCCATTTAGAAATGTTCAATGATTCAAGAAAAATGATTTTTTCAATTGTGAATGCTGGTATTTAGCCTTACCAATACACATGTGCTGCCATCTATTTATCCATCTGTAAACAGATAAGCAATTGGTCAATAAGATTTCTTTTTTGGTGGAAAATTAGGGAATGGTACCCCTTTTGCTTAATATTGGGAAGACAAACAAGAAAATAAAAATAAATATATATATATTGTGAGCTAAATTGTGAAACTTGTTTATATGAAAAACATTCTTTGAAAAATTCTTAATTTGAAAATATATGAACAAAATAAACTATTTAGATAAAAAAAGGTCTGCAATTTCAAAAGTAGAATAAAAGGCTCAAAGTATAAAATCCATTTGTAATTGTCAACAGAAGAGAAGGACTTTAATGTTTTATCATATTTTTCAGATTAAAGGAATGGGTTAACAAACAAGCCAAAGCAGAAAAAGAAGAAGACGTCAAAAGGAAGAAATTAGAGAAACATTATGCTGTTGCAAAACCAAAATTTAATGACCCAACTTTTATGGAACAGAAGTCACAAGTAGCAGAAAATCTGGAAGATGCAGTCTCAGCTGGTAATTTTCCATAAATGTTTTAAAGATTCAAAATGTCATTTTTCAAAATAGTGAAATATATACTTGAAGGTGAATGGCTACTCTATTTAGAGGTCAGGCAGCTATGATATGAAATACAAAGAATTATTTTATATCATAGTTGTTATGTTGATGAATTATGTACCTTTATTCCCACTGTTACTATGCAACAGTGAGGTCACACATCAATATGCAAGTAGAGTACTCCAATATACAGTCTTCAGCAAAAAATTAAGTCCAGTGTTGTTTTTGTTTTCAGATGTTGCCCATGTCCCCTTTGCTCAAAACTATGTATATGAACACTCAAGTGGTGATTTCATGCTATGGCTTGAAATTAATTTCAGTTTGAATGAAAAACTCAGAACAATTTAGTCTGAATGAGTTTTCTTAAGAAATATAATGTTGAAAAAATATTCAAAATAAAGGATCAATTATGTTTACTCTTTTATTGCCCATCAAAATTCAAAGAAATTTCAACCATTTGTGAAGGGCTGACAGATGTTTTCAACTAGGTGCATTTCATTATCTGGGCACAAACTAGGTGCACTTCTAGGTCCAAATGAGCCAGGTGAAAAATGGCTGAAGAGATTATAGTGTGACTTCAAACTGTTGTTATAGTTTAAAATGAAAGGAAGTGATACAGGCCTGTATAACGTGTTTGCTTTTCAATGAGTCGAATTCCTACATTTGAATGCCTGCCATATATTTGTGTTTAATTTTGAAACCTACAGGTCTTGCCAGGGCTGGCACCAGTGCTGCAGCAGGCTCAAGTGCAGATGCGAGGAAAAGAAAGGCCAATACAAATGGTGGTCCTTCTGACAAGAGGGCTTGGTAACACATTATTTAACATTAACTTTTATGTTTCAAGGAAGTCGAAATTTGACTTTGTTTAATTCTTTTCTCTTTTTTCATTGATGTATTTCATCTCTGTTGGGAAATCAAAAAGGGATAAAAAACTCACCAGAGTATCACTATAAAGTACTATAAATGCAAAATGTTCCATTTTGTATGCCCCAATGATACCTGTCTCCACAACATTCTTTTCTGCAAGCATATCAATCTTGGCTAATGTTACTGTATATAATTTTGATACAGACCATATTTTCTGCATGTATTGGGAAAATATCAATTGGTTGATTAATCTAGATGGGAAATATTGTGGAAATACAAACCCAAGCTACTTTAATAATACAAAATATATGAAACCTGTATCGATATCAACCAAATAAACAAGTATCAAGCTCTAAATGATAAAAGAGGTAAGAACACCCTTGGTGTAGACCCATTGATTTGGCACACAGCTCTTGTGCCAAGCCAGTCTATTATCAACTAGTCTATTATTGTGAGCTCTGTATGTAATAGTTGTCTAATTAAAAAGATTGATATTATAATATCAAATTACCAAATGTGAAAAGATATGATATGATAAGGAACGTGTAATGTACATTCTCATCTTACTTACTTTATCAATTCCAGGCTGGGATTTGACCCCGATGACCTTAGTGACAGTGAGGATGATGACATTGAAGCGTCACATTCAAGCGAAGAAAGCAGTAATAGTGCAAAGGATGAGGAACAGAATTCTCCTGAAACACCCAATGACTCAATGGATCTATCTGAACAAAATGGGAAAGTTGACAAAGAAGCATGTGATGAAAACATTAAGAATTCAGTAAATAGTACAAAGGAGGATGAAAATGAGTCAACAAGTGAGAATAAAAACACTAAAGAACAAATGCCTGAAATCAGAATAAATCCTGAACAACCAATGGATGGAATTAAAGAAAGTATGAATGTCCAAAATACTGAGGAACCTGGTATAGCTGCAGCCCAGAGTGATAGTCCAGTTGCAGAAAAATCCCCAACAACAGATATTAGTGAGGTATATTAATTTCCAACACCCTCCATACTACTACTACTACTCCATACTTGGTCAAGATTAAGACAAATGTTGAAGAAAATTATTTGATTCACAGAGTGCTGAATATATATCTCAATGGCATTAGAAGTCCTATTTCCTCCATGTTTTCTCATAGTTAAGTTCATAAATGAATTTATTTATTTTTATCGCACTTTGAAAAAGTGCTATATTGTCGTCGTCTTGTGCTGTTGGGCGGGCGGGCGGGACATAAACCAAATCTTGTCATCAAATTTCCAGGATAACTGCTTACCTGTTCAACTTGAAATTTTTACAGATGCAAGAGCAGACTAGTACCAAGATCTGATTAGGTTAAGGGCATGCTGGGTAAACTACGTGGCGGCCATTTTGAATTTTTCAACAAATCTTGTCATCAAATTTCCAGGAAAACCACTTATCCGTTCAACTTGAAATTTTTACAGATGCAAGAGCAGACTATTGCCAAGATCTGATTAGGTTTTGGGTATGCTGGCTGAATTACATGGTGGCCATTTTGAATTTTTCAATTTGGCGGCCATTTTGAATTTTTTATCTTGCTCCAAATTGACCAAATTTTTTTTTAAAAACATCTACAAGTTCTCAGAAGTTCAAATCTGACATTAGATTTCAGATTTGACCTTTCATTCACCTTCAGTGACCTTGAAAAGGTCAAAAAAGGTGATTTTCTAAATTGATATTTTGGATTTAAATTTAGGTCAGCTTAATTACAAAACACCTACTGAGGTCTGAAAAAGTAAAATTTTCAAGGTCAAGGTCAAAGTCATTAAAATAGGTCACAAATGATGTTATCCAAGTTTCTCAAAGTTTGAGACTACAAATCAATTCTTGTCATCGAAATTCCAAGAAAACCGCTAACCTGTTCAACTTGAAATTTTTACACATGCAATAGCAGACTAGTGCCAAGATCTGATTAGGTTGAGGGCATGCTGGGTAAACTACGTGGCGGCCATTTTGAATTTTTCAACAAATCCTGTCATCAAAATTCCAGGAAAACCACTTATCCGTTCAACTTGAAATTTTTACAGATGCAAGAGCAGACTATTGCCAAGATCTGATTAGGTTTTGGGTATGCTGGCTGAATTACATGGTGGCCATTTTGAATTTTTCAATTTGGTGGCCATTTTGAATTTTTCAACTTGCTCCAAATTGACCAATTTTTTTTATAAAAACATCTACAAGTTCTCAGAAGTTCAAATCTGACCTTAGATTTCAGATTTGACCTTTCGTTGACCTTCAGTGACCTTGAAAAGGTCAAAAATTTGATTTTCTAAATTGATATTTTGGATTTAAATTTAGGTCAGCTTAATTACAAAAGACCTACTGAGGTCTGAAAAAGTGAAATTTTCAAGGTCGAAGGTCATCAAATTAGGTCACAAACAATGTTATCTAATTTTCCCAAAGTTCAAGACTACAAATAAATTCTTGTCATCAAAATTGCAGGAAAACCGCTAACCTTGTCAACTTGAAATGTTTACAGATGCAAGAGCAGACTACTGTAGTGCCAAGGTCTGATTAGGTTTTGGCCATGCTGGGTAAATTGCATGGTGGCCAGTTTGCTCTTCAAAGTGCGATATTTATCACTGTGTGTCTTGTTTATAGTGTACTTGCTTTGTATTTATACTGTCATTAGGCTTCATTCTAAAATTGCAGAGTGAGGCTGTTGACCTTGACCTGTTCAAAAGTGCAGCAGAACTAGAATCAGTTGGTCTGGACAAACTAAAGATGGCACTGATAGCCCTGGGCCTCAAGTGTGGGGGTAGTATACAAGAAAGAGCACAAAGACTTTTCTCTGTCAAAGGACTATCAAAGGATCAGATTGACCCTTCTCTATTTGCTAAGTCTAAAGGCAAAGGAAAGAAATCAAAGTGATTTACATTGATCATTGACATTATTTTGAAACTCCTGATTATGATCTTTGTAATTTTTAATCAAAATAGCCGATGTTTTTTTATTTTATTAGAACATGTGTTGAATATGAACAGCTATTAGTTTTAAACAGCTATTGAATATTCTCAAGCACCAGCTCTACGTACGTACGTACGTCCGGATAATAACTAAAATACAGTTGGCACGATTTTGTTCATATTTTGTACACATGTGCCCTATGAGGGTAGAAGTTCTGCTCGAAAGCCGAAGTGGCCACTCGTTAAAATATGGCAGACATTTTAGTGCCGATTTTACAGTAATTTAGGTACTGTATATACCAGGTCGTTCAATAAGTTCACGGAAAAATGCTCTCATTTCAAAGATTCTTGATATTTTCCCATAACATTTTGACACTATGTTTAAAAAATACTTTCTGATTGATTCTTAAAATCTCAGCATCTCTAATTAGATTGGTCAAAAATAAGGGTTTCTATGGTAACTTGACTTTTGGGTAGGCGGGTCACTTTTTACGTCACACAATTTACCATTACAGAAATCTATCAATATATGCAAAGGAAGGATCCCTATTTTTTATTTGTTCTTATTCAAATTACAAATTTTTGAGGGAAAATTGATGTTCATTGTTTTCAAGAACATTTCTGAAATCGTGCTAGTCAATGCTGTACCATTGGACCAGAAAATCAACAAAGTAATGCTATGGTAAGTTGATTAAAACGTCCATTCTGCCGAACTCTAAATTTTTCCATCAGAATAATACATCCGATCACACTGCTAATATTGTGCAGGAAACCATCACAAATAACTGGCAAAATAGATGGCAAAGCTGCCCCAAGCTACATACTCTCCAGTTGAAACAACTTTGATTTTGCTGTTTCCACTAGGATGAAGGATCAGCTAAGAGGTGCACTTTATGAAACAATGAAACTACTTTCGACTGCAGTCCAGATTGCCCTTAAACAAGTTTTCCAGATGGCTTCAAAGCATTGTCTCGTCAATGGCTTGAATGCAACCTACTGTGCATTAAACATGAGGGAGAATATTTCTAAAACCTTATGGGACAAGAGTTGTTACTATTATTACATTAAGTAATATGTACAAGTAGAAAGTGGAGAAGAAATTCATGTGCTCATAAATTGCCTCCTATTCTGTTGTTTTTCTAATGAATAATGTGACGTAAAAAGTGCCCCGCCTACCCAAAAGTCAAGTTACCACAGTAACCCTTATTTTTGACCAATCAAATAAGAGATGCTGATATTTTAAGAATCAATCAGAAAGTATTTTTTATACATTGTGTGAAAATTTCATGAGAAAATTTCCAAAATCCTTAAAATGAGAGCGTTTTTCCGTGAACTTATTGAACGACCTGGTAAAACTGTAATAGCAATAAATTAAATAATAACAATGTAAAAATATTATAGTCGACATTAATAAAGTTAGAAATGTAGATATTTAAGAAATACATGGCAGCCATCTTGAAAAATGTCGGCTTACACGCTGTTCTACGATATTTGCGATATTTGCGGTAACTTGAAAAGTAGTGGAACGATTTTGTTTATATTTGATATGTAAAATACTCATAACAAGCATGGCACACTTTTTAGTAACACTGGCAAGAAGGCGACCATTTTGGAAATGGCTACCATTTTACGTGTTTTTAATAAGTTTTTCACTAACTCAAAAAGTAAGAGAGTGATTGTGTTCAAATTTGCTATTTGCATACTCATAAGTACTCATAAGTATGGGACACTTATGACATTGTGGCTAGTATGCTGCCATTTTGAAAAATGGTCGCCATTTAAATGTACGTTTTGTTGAAATTTTTTGTGTGCCTACTTAAAAGCATATTACACTTTCTTACAATTTGGCTTGTGAGTGGACATTTTGAAAACAGTGGCCATTTTATTGTTTCTTATTTTACGATTTTTGCTGTAACTGAAAAAGTAGTTGAAGGATTTCGTAAAAATGGCAGCCATGGCTGGCTGTTCGATGGAATTTGCTACGCTTCGGCTTTGCTGTTTTCTATTTTGTTTTTGCTGGTTTCTGGGTAAATTTTAAGCGGACATTACGAATTTTTGTCCTTAAATCTTGTCTCTTTAACTTATTAGTGTTAGGCATTTAGGATGGAAAATCTTTATACGATCACATTGGAGGGGACGTGTTGTAGATAAATAGACAAACCAATATGTTTAGTCAATTCAAGAAAATCATAATTTATTTCTTTAAGCTAAGCATTTCAAATAGGACTTCAGTGAATGTCTAATTACATGATCATTCATTAGAATTTTTAAAGATATTTTTCCAAGACATTGCCGTTTGATTTGACGAAAAATGCTTTTGGGCAGGACCCACTCATAAATATAGTGGGACGATAATACGAGCAACATGGAGCTGCCGTGCCATGGTATACCCAATTATGGGACGTCCCAGACACCTTAAATCTCCATAACTTTCCCCGGATGTTAACTGGTTTCTGGAATACTCCACTTGTAGTTGTATCATCCCAGTTATTCACGAAAAGATATTTGGCTGAACCGTCAAGTTTAGCACAGTTATTCACTTGTACTGCTTTGGACAAAGTTGTAGTGCGATATGGCGTTGAAGTGGTCGATGGTGGTCGCGAGCAAATCCAATTTGTGGAAGACAAACGCTCGCAGACATAATTATCTACAGTTGTCACAAAGATGCCTCCACCAACTCTTACGCTCCATGCAGTTTTACCTGTTTGTAATTATAATATGAAATCAATATAGATGGCACGGCATGGGCCTAATATAATACTTTCAAATATCTAAAGGTAGGCTATTACTTAAAATGCCTATTGATACACTGTAAGTCTCCATATGATACAGATCTTTGTAACATTGACAATTTTTATGTCAAGTGGTGGCATATTGTTGTCTCCGACTTTAAAAATGTTGCCCCCTGAGTGACATCACAGCATATCTTGGTGATATCACAAACTTTAAAGTCCCCGTCTAAAGTTTGAAAATATTTTTTTATCATTCATTTACTATTTGTCATGACTTAAAAAGTTATTTTAGAGATTTTTGTTCAAAAAAGATTATCTTTTTAACACCAATGCAAAGATTGAACAAAGGACACTATTTCAATAATAAAATGCCATATTTAATGGGTAGGTCCACTTCAATGTTTTAGCATATCAAAAATATTTTGCAACATTAGTGATGTCACTAAGGTGGCAAAAACTTTTTGAAATTTTTTTTCGATATCAATCTTTTCTAAATATGCTAGACTTCAATAATAAACTAATGTTGATTTTCTAACCAGGTTAAAAGGAAGAATATATTATGTTTTAGATATCATTGTACCATTGGTTTCTATGAGAACTAAAATTTTTAAATGCATTTTTCTCGGAATCATTATTTATGAACCGATTTTCTTAATTTTTTCGGCAAAAAACATGCAAGGATGAATGCTACGTATTGGCATGGATTGTGGCTAATTAAAAGATATGTGTGACCTCTAAAAGTTCGTTTTAAATAAATTCACAAATTTTTGAACAAAAAAACACTTTTTGAAATTTAAAAAAAAGTTTTACATATCACTCTTTGATAACATTGGGTAAGACTACAATATAAGCTAAAGTGGTTTAACCTTTACATGGGGACTTTAATAAAAAATGCTTTAAATCATAGACTGGATAGTTAAAATAATCATAATTTTTCCTGATCTATTCAACATGCTCAATGGAGTAGAAAAATAGTGATTTTACAACTTGCTAAGCGTTGTATTTGTTTATAACATGACAGGAGATTCAATTATTTGTAAAGTAAAAGATGATTGACTTTCTTTTCAAAATATCTATTTTTCAAGTCATGAAACGTGATATTTGAATGATTATACTATATTTTCAAATTATGCACGGGGCCTGGAATGAAATGGCACAGTTGTACTAACCTTGTCAATTTAACTTTAGATGACTAACCTGACGGTTTCCCTACAAGATACCAACTGGGCGTTCCTGGGTTACCTGCGGAGATGTATCGGGAGTATACATAACCATTCCCTGCTACCAAGTATACTTCATTCTCCGTACATCCTGAGTCAGCGTCACACGTATCAATAGCAGAGGGTCCAATCTTCAAATATGTCAATGATGATGGAAACTTACGTTTTGAAAGTATGGGGTTAGAAAGGAATAAAGTAAATAAGCAAATAGCCAATACTCTAAATAATGCAAACATACCAAATAGACAAGAGCTAAGTATGGAAATAGGCGGGTTGTTATTGTGGAACAGTTCAGAAATGTTACTTACAGTAGTGCCTGGGGGTGATCCATGAGGTCTCCACTGCCAGGAATCACTAGTATATGACCACCAGCGCTCATACAACTTTGAGTTAATACCAACAACAAATACCCGGCCTCCGTACAGATTCCTACACGCACACATAGGCCGCAACTTTTCTGACCCTAATGCTTTTCCGTGTAACACCCAGAGCCATGAATTTGAGCCAGTGCTCCAATATCTCTCGAACAAACGGCCTTTGTTGGAAACTATGAAAAGTTTTCCGTCGTACATAACACATGGCTCAGATGCAACGCTCTCATCTGTTGAGGGGGCGCCATGGTTCGCCCAAATCCACCCGTCTGCAGAGTAATATCGCTCCTGTAGATTCCCATTTCCAACACCAAATAGTTTTGTTGACCAGCCTGACTTCATAGGAGCAAGTCCGGTATAAACTGGAGGTGTCCCATGGTTAGCTGTTACCCAACTCTCCCCATTGATACATGGTATTATCAGTGTAATACACACTACTGCGCTCAAACACCACGACATGTTTGCTTCGTTTTGTATTTTTAGCTGGTCGATGAAGTTGTATTTACAGAATGAACAGAATCATACATCATGCAACTTGTTATTAATATATTCATTACGAGACGAGATATATGAATTGCTCATGTTTTATTGTAAACAGGTATTGTTTGTTCTTTGCTTTCTTTCATGCTCATCAGTTTTTAAGTTTGTTATTATTCACTCAACTATACCTAACCCCTAGAAATGCATAAGATACTTTGTTTGTCTAATTGTATTGTTTAGTATATTTTTGAAAGTATCTTATTAACACCTAACAGTCATCCGATAAACCATTCATAAGGAACAGACACATAAAAACAAATCACATAATCATTACTGATAAGCCAAATGGGTTGCTCATGAACACCAAATGCACTTGGTATAGTAGAGTGGTATTAGGAGGCCCTTTGAAGCATATTTTCTTATCATTTTGGAAATCAAAGACCCTCGCTACTGATGGTACTACTCTTATGTATACAAAATTTTATATATATCCGTTTGCTTTCAGCTCTATAGCAGCTCATTGGATTCTAATATCTTCTGATCATAAATGTTAATACACAGATGGTGTAATCATCTCATTGAGAGATGATGGATCTATTATGTGGAGAAATCTGAGAGAAAGCCTGAAAGATCTTTGGTTGAAGTACAATTTGGTACAACTTTCGAAATGGCCACTGGTTTCCAATAGTATTTAATAGTATTTTAGGTATTACAATTAAAACCATGCCCTTTTCTTTCGACTTTGCTTCTTAAAAGAGAGATTTGTGTACATCTTACCACGGAATGGCTCATCCCCTGGCATATCTTATGAATGAGCCAGGGCCGTCAGATGGGAGGTGCGATGGGTGGGACCGCACCCCCCTTTGTCACCCCCAAAATGAATTTGAAAAAAGAATTTTGAAAAATATTTTTTTTGTAATTTTTTTTTCATTGACTCATACACTTTGAAAGTACCCAGAAAGCACCAAATAGCATCTTAAAATTGCAAAATTTTCTAGGGGTATTGGCCACCCCTCACATCCCCCACAAAACAATGGAAAACTTCTAAATTTATTTTAGAGTTTTGTCTCAGACACTTTTAAAGTGCCCAGATATCATCAAATAGCTCCTTGATATAGTAAGTGTTTCTGGGGGACTTACTCCCCCTCTTGCATCTTGCACTTGCATAACCCCCCCCCTCTGGCGCCCCCCCCCCCCCCCTTGACCCCCCCCAAAAAAAAAAATTTGATTTTCTCAAATTCTCATACACTTTGAAAGTGCCCAGAAAGCACCAAATAGCGTCGTAAAATTGTAAAATATTCTAGAGGGAGTGGGCCACCCCTCACACCCCAAACAAAACAATGGAAAAGTTCTGAATTTGTTTTATGTATTGTCTCAGACACTTTTAAATTGCCCAGACATCATCAAATAGCTCCTTGATAAAGTTAATGATTCTGGAACACTAACACTTACTCGCCCTCTGGCATCCCCACTCCACCTCTCTCTCTGGCAGCCCCTCTCCCTTAACACCCCCCCCCCCCAAAAAAAAAGAAATTGAGATTTTTCAATTTTCTCATTGACTCATACCCTTTGAAAGTGCCCAGAAAGCACCAAATAGCATCTTAAAATTGTAAAATTTTCTTGGGAAATAGGCACTTTTAGGCACAGACACTTTTAAAGTGCCCAAACTTCATCGAATAGCACCTTGATATTGTAAATTTTGATATGGGGGACAAACACTTGCTCCCCCTCTGGCACCCCAGCCCCACTTCACCCTCTCATCCTCTTTGACACCCCCAAAAGAATTTGAAAAAATTCACATTTTTTTCTTATTGACTCATAACGCACAGGCGTACCAGATGGTTGCAAATTCGCTCCAAATACAACCAAATTTCAAAATTTTCCTGGGGGAGAACCCCCAGACCCCTCTAAGTGCTCGGTTTTTTATTCACTCAACTCTTATTCCCGTGGTGGTGGTGACTACTTAGAAACTTACACTTTGAAAGTGCCCAGAAAGTACCAAATACATGTAGCATCTCAAAACTGTAAATTTTCTAGGGGGAGTGGACCACTCCTCACACCCCCCACAAAACAATTGGAACGTTTGAAAGTTGCATTTGTTAATTCCAAACCAAAATAGGGAGTAACTGACCCCCCCCCCCCCCCTCTGTCTTACGCGATTTGATTTACGCGGCATAAAAATGACAATTTTATATTCTCTTTAGTAAGCTGAAAACCGCACCCCCCCCCCCCCCCCCCCCCCTTGGAGAAAAGTGTCTTACGGGCCTGTGAGCCATTCCGTGATAACACGTGGCCTTGGATTGAATGTCTTTAATAGATGAATAATGTTATAACGAATGGTAGGGCTGATTTTCTCAATTCGTCTACAATTAAAATACCCGTAGTTAACAAGTGAAATATGTTCCAATAATCGAGATTTTAAAAAGTTATGACAACTTTTATATTTTTACGTTTTGGTGAATGTAAACAAAGGACAAGCAATGAGGTTACTTTGCTAAGGCTTTTTAACTCTTCTATACACAAGTTTACAATTATATATAAACTATACCAAATATATCCTAGAGACGGTGAAACATTATCTCCATTTCCATAGGTATAGGTGTAGGTCACCATTTTTGCTGAAACAATCGGTTAAACAGTCAGCAGTGCCATGGATACGATCACTTGCAAGGGGCGAGTACGTGTGTTGTTATATTACGTTTTTTGCTGCGGCTATAACTCGAAAAGTAACAAACTAAGTTAATTTGTTGATATATAATATAAAGAACTTGTAAGCAATGAGCATTGTTACCATAGAGACTTTGATACATGTTTTTGAAGCAAGCTATTGAATCTTGTTGAAATCTCGTTTTCAGTGAGATTTTAGGAGATCTGCAATTTTAATCTGCAAATTCTTCTATTTGAGGCCATATTTGTCATCAAAGTTTTATGGAAAGGGTTGGACTAAATTCGCATTGACACACTCACTATTTGTAGACAGATCGACTAAAATCACGCTCTTGTGATGCAAGACTCGACATTCCCTATGAAAATCGAAACATTCTGTGACCAATATAGCAACATTTTATCGCTTAATAACTGATGAATGGCAATCATATTTAGTTCTACTAGAATAAGAAAAGCACATCGTTTTGATAATTCATTCCCATTACTAATATAATATTACAACCGTTTTGGTTTAGAACTTTAAATCTTTATTAGATTGTTTACAAGAATATTTCCATTATACTACACTGATGATCCGCTCGAGTACGCTGGTTACCGGAACGGTTCTTAAGTGAGGTATTGAATCGACGATTCTGTTGTGGCCCTGTTGTCTTCCGGGCTATTTTTCGCAAACATGTACAATTTCTAAAACATATGATTCTGATACACGTTTGTAAGAAAATGTTGTGGGGATTCTGCCTACAACGCGTGAAATAAGGAAAGGAGAAAAATCGTACTTCGACGTTCCGACATTTTGTTACGAAAACGAATCGTTTTGGCAACCAGCGTAATCGAGCGGATCACCAGTGATATTAGAAATGCACGTGAATTATCCCCATTTTAAATGTCGCAATGACATTAAATTGCAAATTATATGAAATTACTGATCTTACAAAGACTTGAGCGAGACTATCATTTATTGATTCATAGTATTTATATAATATTAAATATATTATATATATATTATTAATGATATTTAATATAACACATGATAAGACGAGTCGCAAAAAGCTCGCGCACGCATTGTTACACATTTTGTGGCGTAATCCAGAGGATCCTCGCTTTTAACATGATAGAATGTGACGTTTTTGAGAAAAATGTACATACACGTCGCACGAAACTGGGGACAATTAGAGTAACATTATGGCGTCAAAATACCAAAACAATACAATGGGCAGTATAGGGCGCAATCAGCATTATAACGTCAAAAACGACAAGCGTTACATTTTGTCAAGTTTAGTCAACCTAAAAATAAGATGCTTTATTCTTATTCAATCCTGGTAAAATTAACAGAGCAACAAGATCTCGAGGACAATATTTCTATAATGTTTTTGATTTTTGAAAAACGGTGAGGAAGTCCACTCGGGGCGTTAGTAAAAATTGATATGTATGGGATTTGTGGTAAAAAATCGATGCGTTACATTTTTTCAAGTCTCTAAAAGCAACTCTTATTCTCTTATTATTTAAAAAATAGAGAAATCGATTATTGTTTTGTAAATTTCGCCATGACAATATTGTGCAGTTAAATTTTTTTTGAAATCAGACCTAAATTAGAAGGTTAAATAAAGGTAAACTTATTTCTTGTCTCCTTCACCTTCAAAACCTAACACAATTTTGAAAATCTTAAAAGCGTTCATATAAGACGATTTGAACTGTAGCCGCTAGGCAATTGTGACGTCATAAAAGCACATGTTTCAATGAATAAAATGTGAAATTTTAGTAAAATTCTAATCAGTATTTCAAAAGTTATCCCGATTTCAACGAACCGTGTAAGCGTGAAATGTTACGCCTTACAGCGTATTTGACGATGTCGGAGTACATTTAACTTCAAAAATATGGTAGATCCTATCACACTTTCCATGGAAAAATAATTTCAGTGAAATGCGAATAAAAAATACTTCAAAATGATATATAATGCACATAGTTTGCTTTTTAAATAAGGCAGATATTAACGCTTAAAGCTTAGATTACCCCGTATTTCCCGAATTGTCCCCAGGTCTGTGCACGTCATAACACACTTGAAAATCCTTTCGTCCTCCACATTTACCTCTATATCTCAAAACAATTTAGGCGAATAACTCTGATATCATATATATATTGTTAATGGGCTAGGAGCATCATAAAACACGAATCAATTGATATTTTAGGTGAAATAAATATACGTGTTGCTGTGCTTGAAAATAGGCGAATGGCGTAAATTAGCCCTATTTTAATGAATTTTGAAAACCTTTCGTCTTCCACTTTTCCACATACAACAGAGAACACATACTTTTGTGAACAAAATCAACTATTTATTAATAAACTACAGTTTAGGAGCAAAATAATCATGTATGATTTATTAAAAATTGATCTCGTATTTTTTGTTTAATGTACACCTGAAAAGTTGAAGGTACCAAAAAATGAACAAAAAAGGTCGCTGTCAACAGATTCTATTTTTCAGACTCTATGACGTCACAATATGGGACGCTTACTAAAATTCATCCTTTGAAATAAAACTTCCATCTACCTTTATCAAGATGAAAAATAAGTATAATAGTCATATATTGTTTGAGTTATGAGCATTTAAAGACGAAAAATAATTTAAAATGTAACGTGTCAACATGGGATATTTGCCAGATGTTTTGGTAGAAAACTCTTTTTTTAAAAACGAACGCGCAAAAAATGTGAACGGAGTGTAGTTGATCTAAAATCTTCATCGAAACAGCTTTAAAATGATATATAACTTCAATTAGAATATTATCTTATAATCCGGGGAATCAAAGTTACATTCACGCGATACCCTTAAAAAACAAATGCGCCACCTTTTTGCGACACGTCTAATAAATCAAATGTCAACTTATGGCTGTATGAATCACAAATATAGGTCAGCATATATAGCTGATCGTATGCCATAACTGACAAGCTATCCTAGCCGGAGAAAAGGAAATGATGTGTATTAATTCGAATTCGGGCGTTCCTTTGAAAGCGATGCTGTTTGTAAATGCTCTGCCATATTTCGCACTCCAGTCGACATTTCATTAGTAGGGTGGGATAGCAAAGAATTACGTGCCGGTGAAGTACGCCAGTTGCAAAGTAAGCTACCATATTTACAAGTATATTTACCATATTTACAAGTTGATTGAGCACGTACATGTACATCTCATACATAGGCCAGGTTATCAATTTGACACTGTTAGTCAGACACCGGAGTTACAAGTCATGTGTTAATGGTAAATGCGCATCAACTTATATCTGACGACTAACTGCCAAGTGGGGAAGGTGGTATTATGCTGAGAGTTACACTCCCATCGATGCTCTATTGAGCAAGGTGCCATAGTACTACAAATCGTGTGTTAATGGCGTGTGCACATCAATTTCGTAGGCGGCTTGTCAAATGGGGAAGATGGTTTGATGCCGTGAATTTCACTCCCATCGATATTCTGCCTACCGGGACTCCGTTGAGTTTCTGCAGAAGGGATAGTTAAAAACGAGCCATCTTTTAGGGTGAGATTCGAGAAATTGTACGAGTCACTTTGTTGTAACCAATAGGTTGTCATCATACCCTTTCCCTGCAAAACACCACTATTTAATAAGAACAAGACGTACAATGATACATATCGCACCCTTTTAGTATTGAAAATTTCAAAATGGACATGCAAGCTCAAAACCTAATCAGACCTCGGCACTTGTCTGCTCTTGCTGCATCTTAATTTCAGGTTGAAGAAGGTAGCGTTTATTAGAAATCTATACAGCGCCCACCCACCCAGACAGACGTTGGGAATTTCAAGTTTCCACTTTTTGACTGAAAGTCGAGGCATTTGACGGCTGAAATCTTTTGTGCTTGCTTTCTTTTGCCAGGGGACCAACTGAGCAAAACTTCAAGAGTGGAAAAGTGAAACACAGTAATGTCAATCAGCACAAGATGGCCATCATCCATGGTGTTTTGCCTTTAATATAAGCATGGGCATTCAATAGATTGAAAGCCCATGATATAAGATACTTTAAAACGATCTATGATAATTTATAGCGATATATAATAACACCAGGATACTGAGAAAGATGGAGAGGATATTGTTAATGTGATGAGTACCTGTGGTTTAACTAATTAACTAACACAGACTGCTGTAAAGCCATGTCACCTTGGCTTAATATTACCGAATATCTCTTGCTTGTTACTTTACCTTGATCATTAATTCTCCACGCAATGTGATGATGAACATAGAGTCCGTGTTGCACTGTTTCTGTGTATCAGAGCTGATGTGGATCTTCATGGCTGGAACGTTTTCATTGAAACAGTTTACGTCTCATCTACATTATATTACTATATTGGTTTAATGAATGCTGTCACAGAAATATGAGTTCTTTAATAGAAATTTGGTATAGGTTTGAAGTTACTTGAAACTGTAATATGGATCAACAGTTCAAAAACATGGTTTAAAGTTCACATGACTTCTGGAATGATAGACATTTGTCATATTCTTTTATGTATTGTGTTTATATAAAAATATACATGTATATTCATCAAGGGTGGTCCAAAAAAGTGAACCCCTGCAACAGGCTAGCTATATTTTACTTAATACTTGCATGAATAGACTCCTATTACCACATGTTGTAGAAAAAGGTCTAAAATTTTGGTTGATGCCATAATTTATTCTCATTCTCAAGTTGCCCCTTGTGACCAGGAATCTGAGAAGCCATTCATCAAATATCTTTAAAAAATCAAAAGAAAATCCAATATCCAATGTTTTGAGCCATATTTCATGGAAATTGTTGAAACACATTGGATAATCTTAAACAGCTTTCAGTCAAAAGGGACTCTATTTAACCAGAAAACACATTTCATACTTTCACTGATCATTTTGAAGCAGTTTTAACCGGTCAACAGTTCAGGGGTATGTTACCTACACCAACAGTTAGAGGGGGCCTCTTGTGAAAGGAAGCTGTCCCCTGTGACCAGGAATATGAGAAGCCCTTCATCAAATATCTTTAAAAAATCAAAAAGATAATCCAATATTCAATGTTTTGAGCCATATTTCATTAGAATTGGTCCATGATTTTTGAAGATATTGACATTTCAAGACATTTCAAGATCATATAGGGGTATGTTCGCGATTTAACTGGAAAATGTTTTCGTTTATGGAAGCTTAAAATATTTCCTTGGATCACAATAACTTTGCAACTAACAAAGGTAGGATGCTAGGTTTAAGCCATAATGTGCGAGATTCAAAATTGAACAAAGTCAGAAAATATTAGTTCTTTAAGACTGCAGCTTAAAACATGTCAGGGGAAGGGTGTTGAAGGGTTGAAGAATCACGGATATTATATATAACATTTTATCCATTTTCAGTAACATTTGGTTAGATCTTATAATTTTTGCAAATTTCAAGACTAAGAAAAATGTATGGTACCAACATAAATTTTAGACATTCCTCTACAACATGCATGTGAAAATAAAAAAGAATTCCTGCAAGTAATAAGGGAAATATGGCCTGTTGCAGGGGTTCACTTTTTTGGACCACTCTGTATGTAAAACCAACGTATTACACCCAACATCTTGCTTCATCTAGCTTCGAACGCAGTGATTGGACGCAGTCACCGACGATGTTCCCCAAAGGGACTTTTCAATTACCTTCGCCGTTTGACTCCATCCTTGACGCTGTATTGACAGTGTCTCCAAAGAGACAGTATCTCGGCATCTTGAGACCGACAACACCAACAACAACAGAACCTACATATAAAACAATACTATGAATTCACAAAATAACCGAAATGCACGCTATTTTGCATGCAACGTTTAATAAAGTTTTCCTATTCATGATTTCTAAATAACATAATATTTTGTGTAGAAAAACACATTGCACATTATAAACAGTATACCTGTGTGAATTCCAATTCTTAGTTTGAGCCTTTCATCAGCTTTGTGTTTGATTTCGAATGTCTTTGCAATGTTGAGTAGGGCAATAGCCATGTGGCAAATCTCTTGAGCGTGGTTGGAAATGCGATTCGGCAAACCAGATACAACCATGTACGCGTCTCCAATTGTCTCCACCTGCAGATATAGCAGTTCTCGTATGGTTATTTGTTCTAGATTATCCATTTCACGCGGGATATTTAGAAATCATCAACGTGAATCAAGAAAGTGAAGTCTCTGTTATTCCTCGCTCATCATTCTCTGTATTTCATTGATCTCTTGAACCTACCTTGTAAACATCGAAGCCGTCGATAATCGCATCAAACGCTGTGTAAAGATCGTTCAAAAAGTTAACAATCTAGAAATGGAAAACAAATATAAACAATCTAACGTTTAAACCACTTTGACTCTGTAATTTTACTTGATGTAATCAAGTTCTAAAAATATTAAGTTGTTAAAACGCAGAAAAATATTTGACATACAAAAGTGTAGTATTTAAAAACTGAATGTTTAGGTATTTTCGAACTTTATATCTGGGCCTTTAAGATCTGTAAGCAGGAAGATGTTGGGATGGATGGGTGATCTGATGCTTTTACCTCAAAAGGAGTACTGGATGCTGATATAGAAGTAAATCCCACAATATCCGAGAAATAGATGGATACGCAGTCATACGATTCTGGTTCCACAAATCCTTTTGTCTGAAGCTGCTTTGCAACTGATCTGAAGTATTGGACAAATACTACCATTTCAATACAAAATACGTTTTAAGGATACATATTGAATTCATATTGTCAATTACATTTCACTCCGCCTAGGCAAAAGTCATCCAGGAACACATTTGGACTGTTTCAAACGAACTAAAATCTTACATCCGATCTGCAATTGCTTTTTTATCAATACTTTGATTTTCACAAATACAATTTTCAAACTGTTATTCGTCTTGCTATTTAAAATTGTCTTAACCTATTTAGATCAATTGATTAAGATACGATCATATCACAAGATTTTTTTCAAAGACATGCGATTCTGCTTCACACATTCTACCTGGGGAGTAACCTATGAAGAAGGTCCTCTACTCGTTTCTTTTCGTCTAGGTATTGTCCAGTGCGTTCCTCTATCAGAGATTCAAGATTGTTGGCGTACTGTTCCATTCGGTTGAGCAAGTTGTCCATAATGTTGAGACCCTTTTTACTGCAACATATATTCTAGAGTATATTTCAAAAACTGTTATTTCCTTTTTCCTGATTTGTTTTAACGATTTACAAAGGGCGTTCAATAAGTAATATGTATAGAATAGAATTTATTTGTACTGATGCCATTTTAGGGCCAAACGTACATCCAACATACAATTTTCATTAACAGTAAAAATAGCAATAAAAATCCGGTCTCTACCAATCATTAGATAATTTATCATGTCAGCAGATTCTTTTGATACGTTCCCCTCACTGAAAAGTATTGTTCAAATCCAAAGTGCGTTTTTAGTTATTTAAATAATCTAAGTTTCCCCTCAATCCCACTTATAAGATTCTTCCAATATACTTGATACCTCTCTATTAATTTCTTTTTGACTTTAAAGCAAACATATTAGTGCCCTTCTCTATGCTTACCTTATCTTCAAGATTTAATCCATCAGATATTTTTATTTTAATATGACACAGTACAGTTTTGAGTTGTTTGTGCCATGTAAATGTGTTGTTTGTTGATTTATTTTTTACTCATAATTAATGAATCGTTTAGTAAACTCCCATTTGTACTCAACTCTAAATGACCGAGGTATTTAATTTGTCTTTTTATAATACCAGCTTCCCAATTCTCCTCTTACTTCCATGTTTGTGGCTTTTCTATGAACCCCGAAAACAAATTTTTGAATCGAATATGATATGTATTTCTGTTCAATATCTCGATTAGTTAGCAGTCACACTTGGTATATATATCATTACAACATATTTCCGAACCGTATAAAGCGACAGGTTTGATAAGTTGATCATATAATTTCAATTTCAGTGAAGATTTCATCTCTGTGCCACTTGTCAATTGAATTCTTAAATCTTGTCAATTGAATTGATTGATTTATAAGTATCTATAAATTGAAAGTGACTTTATCCATACCCTTTATATGCAGTGTTCTTTATATCAACACTGAGCTCATCCACTGTGGGCCTCTTTTCGATCGTGTGACTCCAACATCTTCTAATAATATCTTGCAGTGATTCGGAACAAACGTCTTCATCGAAATCTGGCCTTATCTTGTGACACGTCATCGGGTTCTTCAACAACTTCAGAATCTCTGATACACATAGTGCAAACTTTAGGCAAGTATACAAGTGTAAAACATGCCATAATGTATTACTTATAGATAAGTTGATATTGCCTGTTCCGAGATACTGTATGCCATTTTAACATATTTTACTGCTATTGCCCAATCAACATACTTAGAATCTGCAATGACGATAGGTACAACACACATCTTATTTTTCAAACTATGAAGATAGATCGATTGATGTGTGAAAATAAGCATGGATAAATAACAAAAACGTTGCCACCCCATAGCACATAACACTGGGGGAGGATAACCTAAATGGGCATGACCCAATCACACAAAACGTTTCCATCCCGGTTTCCATAAACCTAGTGAACAAATGTGCACACGCTTTGAGCAACATATTACTCACCCTCAACGTCAATTTCAGTTTTGAGATACCATGTTCCTCTTCTGTTAACAATCTCTTGTGCTAGTATTCCAAAGCTATACACATCAGATGCTTTCTTATTTATAAAAGCGGGTCTTTCTTCAAAGAGCTCTTCTGGACTTTTATAGAGAATATCTAAATAGCAAATTAAAGAAACGCATGGAAGGCCATATTATGCATTTTTATAAGGTAAGATTTTTAGATATGTTATAAAATATACAGTGGAATCAACCCTCACATCCAATTATGTTCGGCGACAGACAGGTTTTATATTTGTATGATTTAAATCGACACGCTCAAAGTCAATATTGGTAATATGGAATCACAAAATACCAACTTTGCGCGCGCATTGGATTTCAATTTTAGCTTACTGCTATGACAAATCAATGGTAATAGCCTATATTTAATATTTTTCATTTTTGAGCACATAAGAATATAATTATCTCAGCACAAGTGCCAAAGGGTGAGGACCAAAAACTGTAAAGAAACCTGTTTAAACCTGCCATTGAGAAAATACGCTCTTACTGTATATCCCAAAACCATGATCGAACGTGAAAAGAAATAATGTCTAGCATCCCCCTTCTTTAGCCCTCCAATCGAGAGCAAATATCACGATCAAGGACCAGAACACATTTCATTTATCCTGAAGTTATTACAATACAAAATATTGATATCCGATCATCATAGCATCAAAAATAGTTGTAGATATAGTACTCATAAAAGAGCATTCAGTCATAAATGACGTGGGATAGATGAAATCCAGTCTCAAAGTCCATAGGCAATTCAAAGGGTCAACATCCATTCGCAAAGCCGTCGCCATAATCCATAAAACACAATAAGTCACCATGTAGACTAATGGTCATCAGGAGAAAACTTTGACTGGTTTCGAGGAAATCGAGGAAAATTAACGGTAATGATATTTTCTAACGATTGAGCATAGCGAATAAGTTTGAAAATTATTTAATACAGGTACTTCACACTGTTTTGATATCAGATTTGGAGAAGGTGTTCTATAGTTTGTTACGGGGGTGTATATTTGAGTATGTTCTGTTCTATTTAAGTGACGACAAACGGTGGTATTGATTGAATGAGTTGTGAGTGATTTATGTTTAGGAAATAGGTTTTGAGTCATTCGGCTTTGTGACGCTAACACGGCAGCATTTGCTAAATTTACCAAACAACTTTAAGGTTAACTGTTTTAAAATATTTTGTCAAATGTATTTTTACTTTGATATAAAGTTAGAAATAGTTTTTGTTTTAAGTAAATTGTGTGTTTCGAATTCTTAAATCCTACAAACGCCAATTTCATCTTAGGGGTAGGTGGACCTCCTTGTATATAAAAAACAAAATGTACAAGGTACCTTTCGCACTTTGCAAAAGGGGTCGCCGCGAGGTTGGCATCAAAGAATTCAATTATCAGCCTACAGGGCATAAGTACTGTAAATATAATACTAAGAAATTGTATACAGAGTATGTAAGCAAGGTTTCCGAAACCACATGAATATAAAATGTAAATTATTTACAATAATTCATAACTGAGATAAAAAGCTGGATAAAAAGCTTTGCCTCCGAGGCATATGGAACGATTTTAATGTTTGGGCAAGGAGTGACCATATATTTGATTATTTATAATTTCAGACGAGACTCGTCTCTAAGACGTTTGTGGAGCTATAAAAGATTACTATTTATACATTATAAGATTTGAGATATTTGCCTCCGAGGCTAAATAATGATTTCATTTTGAAATTTGTCAAAAGAATTAAGTCCCATGAATCAATAATGTAGTCTAGAATATTTTCAAAATAAAAGCCTCTAGAAAGAGAGAGTTCTTACATTTTGGCGAGCACCCTAGAGACCTGTATCAAAGTAATCCTTTATATCGTACAAACGATTTGTGAGATTTGCCAAAGTGACCGAGGTGTCGAAAGGCACTAATTAGACGATTAATTAGTATAGCATTCCTCATTTCTTAACTAGTTCAATCAATACAACCAGTGTTGATCACCACATAAATGCCAAAACAGCTATGGTCAATGTGTCAATTGTTTCATGCTGGACATGTGCCAGTGTTTTGAAAAATCCATAGATTACAGTACTCAATCTGCTTTGATTGATTTTACTGAACTAGTAAACCAATAATCAGAATCACACTACAGCATTGCAGCAATGTCTGCTCCTTAGATTCTCTCTTAAGGGAGGTACTTATTTATAAGTCTGTTAACACATAAAAGTACATGCTTATTTGATATACCAAATGGTTATTTTACTATACTGTAAGTAACCCATAATCAAGTCAAGTTGTATTATGTGTTAAATAAGGTAGTCTAGCTTCAAGCCTCTGTGACCCCTCCCCCTCTACTTGAGTAAACATCTTCTCACACATACTGAGTAGCCTGAGCTAGACACACAACAGTGCAATTAAGAAGGGATATTTTGATGCACCAAGCTAAGAGGATACTTGGTCTTGATCTTGACTTGTGTGCTAAGACTGTAACAAAGAGTTTCCGTAACATGCTTGATATTTAAAATTTATGGTACCATTGAAATTACAGTCAATAAATAAATGAGAATAATTATGAAATAGAAGATGAAGGTGAAAATCAGATTAAAATATACGTCAAATGTACTTGTATTAATCATGAGTTCTACATTCATACCAGACATACACTGCACAATGGAATGCAAAGCTTATTGGTCAGTGCCAATGAGCCCAGTGTCTAGGATCAAATGTACTGCTGGGTGCAAATATGATAACAGATCGATGCAGTTCAAATCTTTGCTAATTGTTAACATTAAATACTATTTGAATCAACAATTAACATTGTTAATGGTGATGCTTTCAGTGTTAGTGATAATTTGATTGAGAGAAGTATTTTAAAGATAATTTTGTATCAAAGAATTCTCTATTTATGATCATTTTTTACAAATTTCATTGACCACGTATCTTCTTGTAATATAGGATATATTAAAATATTAATTGTAGATATACGCTACATCACTTAAAAAATCATTTAAAAATTGGTGCAACCTCCTTCAAAATTGAGCTAGAAACTTCAAAAAGCATTCTAAACCTCTCATCTCTTTTTGGTTGTATTTTTGGGTGGGGTTGAGATCAACTAGACTGTATTTCATATAATAATTTTTCTAAAAATGTTCTTTTTAACATAAAATTATTTTTGCAAAAAACACATTTTTTACCCAAAAACTCACTTCGACACCTATTTCATCTTGGCAAATCTCAGTATCAATAAAGGAACCCTTTACCTTTCAATTATTAACCATGGTCAAGCTGCTCATCAAAATGTGTTAACGTTTTCATCATATTTTGAACACACTCGTTTTAGTCGATATTGCATGCAAATCACAAAGAAAAAATATTAAGCTCCCAAAATCCCCCTAGTTGATTAAACATGATATATTTTGACTTTTGAGAGTCAACTATATTGTATTTCATATAATAAATTTTCAAAAATATTTTTTTATCAATTTTATTTTGTTTTTGCAAAAAACGCATTTTTTACCCAAAAACTCACTTTGACACTAATTTCATCTTGGCAAATCTCAGTATCAATAAAGGAACCCTTTACCTTTCAATTATTAACCATGATTAAGCTGCTCGTCAAAATGTGTTAACGTTGTCATCATAGTTTGAACACACTCGTTTTAGTTGATATTGCATGCAAATCCCAAAGAAAAAACTATTAAGGTCCCAAAATCCCCCCAAGTTGATTAAACATTATATATTTCGACTTTCGAGAGTCAACTAGACTGTATTTTATATAATAAGTTTTCAAAATATATTTTTTATTAATTTAAAAAAAAAATTTGCAAAAAACACATTTTTACCCAAAAAGTCACTTCGACACCTTTTTCATCTTGGCAAATCTCAGTATCAATAAAGAAACCCTTTATCTTTCATTTGATAACCATGGTTAAGGTGCTCGTCAAAATGTAAGATGTCATTTTATTTTATACATACCTATTCTAGACTAATGGACTATTATGGAGTTTTTGCCTCAGGAGCATCTTGAGAATATTTGGTATTATAAGTTTACCTCTGGAGAACACGTACTTTAGAAGTTAATAAAATCTTAACATATGCCAGGATTCTGATCAGATCCTTGGACTATTATTGAATTTTGCCTCCGGGGCATATGTAGATAAGGATTGTTTAATATTAAAAGTTTACCTCTGAGGAATAATCTACTTTAGAAGTTGAAAATATAATATTTACAAAATGTTTTGTATGCCAGGATTATGATCAGATCAATTGAACTATTATTTAAGTTTGCCCATCGGGGCATCTGTGCATAAGTAATATTGTAGCATTTTAAGGAATTCAGAAAATTTACAAATTCATTTCACTCGATCTTTTACGTGTCATACTTTCTTACCTTCGACTGTTCAATTCATTAGTTCAATCATGTATTTGCATTATATTTCAGCATTCTTATATCATTTTATATTAATGTAATCTCTTACTATCTTCTCATTTTCAAGTGTAAACATAAAATGTTCACGTTTGTTTTTACCGGAAGTTTAGACTTTCTTAACTTCCGGGACGCATGCGCGGTGCGTCAATTGCCATTTGTGGCGTCTTGGACATGCGCAATGCGCAAAAGAGAGAGAAAACACTTTTTCGAGCGGGAAGTTGGAAAACTTTGAACTCCGTAGAATTTGAGCTAGAATGTAACGACCTAACACGAATTATGTACTAGGGGGGTGGGAAAACGTATATAGAGTGTAAATAGATGTATATAGAAAGTTAAATTCAGTTTTGTTGGTGTTTTCTATGAGAAATAAGGATGGAAAAGGAAAGATAGAAATCACCCGGGGATCTTCGATGAAAACCAACACCCGGGGTTGATGCTTGAGCCAAACGACCAGATGGCGATGTCTTCACATAATATATTCTGTACAAGAATATTTAAAGACCCCGTGTGAATTTATTTCATATGATTATCCTGTCCAAGGATATTTGTCAATTAAAGGCCCTGTATAAATTCGTATCCTGTCCAAGGATATTTGTCAATTAAAGGCCCTGTATAAATTCGTATCCTGTCCAAGGATATTTGTCAAATCACTTAAAGGCCCTGTATTAATTTATATCCTGTACAAGGATATTTGACAATTCA